TGTTGAAGTCAACCTTTATCTCCTCAAAAAGCCTCAGCCGGAGTATCGATTGAATGCCAACCTTTGTATTGGAGGAGTAATGAAAGTGATTTACAGTACTATTTTCTCACCTGAAGTGAGATTGCATTTCAGGTTTGTGCTGTTAGAAGTATCCCATCAGCAGATTTAAAATGAAGGGCATTTAATCTTTTTTTTCCTGTAATGACCTTTTTAAAATGCCTGATTCTAAAGAATGGTAATGAATGCCAATGGAGAGTAACTGCTGTGGGCATCCTGATAAGTATTTAAGGAAAATGCAATTTCAAATCTGCCGTAAGTTTAGTATGACGATACTGAGCGGTTTGTGAAGTGCACACAAGTGAAAGTGGCTTTCGATGGTAGGAGGCATCCTACGTGCTTTTTTGCCCTAAGGGAGCGCTTCTGTTAACATTAGGGCACTGATGTCATACGCAATTCATTACTGTCCTCGGATATCGACCCGGCTCTTATCTGCAGATTGTCACAGCCGCCGCTAACGTTATGATTCTTTTTCTTGCTCTTGATATGGTTCTTATCAGCAGTATAATGGGATGTGTGTTGTGTGCGTTTTAATATGTGCTCAGTACTCTGTACAGGTACGACACCGAATCAGAATTCCACAAAGCGTTATCAGCCTGGGCTCCAGGAAAACCTAATTACCATTTCTTACTTACAATCAAGAAACCAGATCTGATTTATTAGAGATCAAATAATCTTTAGTTACACTTATGTTTAATTTACTTTAGAAATCTAAGGTGGTGTGATGAAATAAAAACTAATATGAAACACATTGACAAGGTAAAAAGCTGTCTAGTCAGCATGGTGATTATCTTATTTTCTCATTGATAGTCTATGGGAGCCAGAATCCTATTTTGCATTTGTTCGTGTCCAACCTTCACCTTAATTCCCAGAGGACTAACTTGATCTGCAAAGAAGATGCAGCATTAATTGTTTCATGGGGCACTTTATCATCACTAAAGCCAAATATCCCCTAAGGCGTTGTTGTTTTTTTTCTTCTCTCGGATTATGCTCTTAACAAATGGGCGCACCTTTTTCCTAATGACAGCTTTGCAACATCGATAAACCTTTTCCCCCCCCAATATCCACATCTGTGTGCTTTATCTCCATAAAGGTTGCCATAGCAGCGAGAGTGCGAGAGTGTCTCCCGAGGCAGGGCTCTTATCCGGGTTCCCTTTTGGTTCCACACTGCAGACCCGAACATGTCTGGCATTGCGAAACCTGAAGTTTGGCAGTCGTAATGTGCTTTTGAGCGCCACTATAAACTTTATGTGGGGAGAAGAGCGCTGCAGTGCACCATTCTCCCAGACATTAATGTAAAACCCCACAGCTTTCCTTCTCCTTACAAGAGCAAAGAAAACTGTACTTTATGTTCATTTAAAGCCAGCACTAAAACTAAATGGTGTCGTTGGTTTTCTGCTGCAAGACGATCGTGGTCTCAACTGCCTCTGCTGAAGTGATGTAGATTCAGATTCTCTTTGGTAAAGCACATTCTGGTCACTTTCCAAAGTATTTATTTATGTATTTGTTACGTTATTCCCCAAAGGTCTTCCTTTCTGCTGTGCGATTTTCCCATTTCGCTGTCATTGTGCGCGTTTGGCAATGAAGCATCAAATTACCGTCGTACCGTCTTTGAGGCTTGTGAGATTGTCAGCAATTCTGGGCCGAGAGCCCAGACTGCACTGTTCCGAATTCAGAATTTGAAAGCATCACCCTCGGTCTTCAGTATATCTATCGTTTACAGTTATTTCCCCCCCCCGTTACTCTTGAAATCGTCGGCAGCAGTAATGTTAATGCAGCACATTCTTTGGGGATTTATTCCTACACAGAACCGCATAAACAAAAGTGATCGTGCCGACGTCGAGCTCTCTGTGTACTCAGCAGAATGTCCTGTACCGAGGCGTCGGTGACTCAGGTTGAGGGGGCTTTCGTTTAATTGCCTGTTTTTCTTGGGTTTTGTTTGGGAGTTGGCCCCAGTGTTCATATACATGTTGGCTTTTTATGGTCATGACCGTGGGGCTTCTGAATGACTTAATCCACAGAAAATATTTAATTTTCCTCATTCAAGTCATTTATCAACTGGAATTACTGAACCGCATTAGGCTCCTGTGCCGTGTTGACATTTTCCGAGGCCGACCGTTGATGCTGAACACTGCAGATAATGTTCATCTCCGCGTGCGTGCTGGTGTTCAGCGGTATGTTCAGGTACCGCAGGACATTACACACACCGCCTGTGTAATGAGCCTGCATATACTGTGCCTTCAGGGCTTGACAAGACTTTGGTAGCTGTGCTTTTCATCACTTTTTTAATGTGACGTGTCTTTGGTAGGAACAACAGTTTAATTGTCTCCATATAATTTCTTTTTTATGTCAAAAAGGGGACGTTTTGTTTTGGTAGAATAAGCGTCCCCCGTTACAGCCCAGAAACCCCCCAAATGAGGGTTTTCTTGGGTAAATATAGTAGAAATGTTCTCAAGTGTCCTGCTCTACAACAACTGTCCAAACGCTTTTCTTTCTTATTGTCCGGCACAGTGAGATGAGTAGGTGGGGCACTTATCCAGAGCAGTGAAGATCTCTCCACTGTAGACTGCTGGGTTATAGATTGCGGCTCAGCTCTTGATGTTTAATTTACTGGACACATTTGCCCGAAGCTGCCAATTTCTGGTCAGCAGTGATTGCGATGTATCGTGCACTTTGATTTCGAGGACTCAAAGACAGTTTTTTTTTTTCTCCATTTCTTTCTGCAGATGTGCTTTGTGTCACAGTGGAGCTGGCTTCTGTGTACAGTTCTGATTTCCATTTAGCGGTTGAATATTTAATAGCAGATATTGTACTGCTGTTTAGCATGGGCACATTTCACAGAGGATTCCTTTGGCAGTATATTTTGCTCCCATGTTTGTCCCTCTCTGCAGTTTTACAGCCGATCAAGTTGTTTCCCCACAGGAGGGGGAAAAAGCTCTTGGTGGTAATGGTGGCTTTCACCCCCAGCACCTGCAGTTACTATTTTCTGGATGGATCAATATACCTGTCAACGTCTCCTCGAGTGGAGCCTATTTCATGTCATTACGGCAGGGTGCAACAAGAAAAAGCTCATGTTCCATCAAAGTCTGGAAAGACTGAAACCTTTCTTTGGGACTTTGTCTTCTAGAAAGCCTCAGCGAGGGTTGAAGGGACACATTTACATTTTTAATATCACATGCTGGAACAGGAGGGGGCAGGTCCCCTGGTAGGTTTAAGTGTGTGTTTCGCCAAATTATTCTGCATCAAGTTTACAATTACTGTCACTATACCTTGGTGCGCTGCCTCCCATTTCTAATACATCGCGTATCGATGCTTAATCAAAACATAAATATCAACAATTCACTCATTCGTAACTATTCAGCCGTTTAGTCTTTAAATCTTCCCGCACATCCCTTAAGATTTCAGCATCTGTTTGTTTTGGCCTTGAGAGTGTTGGCTTGTGTGGGAACCGTGGGACTTTTAGTCAAATGCTTTGTTTCGCAGAAAGAAATGATGTTAGTTGGGTCAGTGTTTGTTTGCCAATCACTCGAGTGAGCAGTACGCCATCTGTTCACCTCGGAACCGGCGAGGTGTGCAAACCTCAAAGGGCTTAGTTTGTTCAGGACAGGTACGTGTCCTGAAAACACTGTAGCTGCTCCCAGGTGACCGTATGGATGTCACCACAGGGATGTGTTTTTTCTGTTTTAATCAGAAACCTGGATGGAGATGGAAACCTCAGTTAGATGACGGGTGATGTCGTTGCACACATGTTGAACTAGTGTTGGTTTGGTGGATGGAATATGGACCACATTTGTTTCTGCAAGCCTGTATGCAAAGAAACGGACACGGCACACACTTGGGGATATCGCTTGTGTTGCAGCAACAGAGCTTAAGGTTAACATGTGAGCTCTTTGGGTGGGAAGGATGAAAAAGGGATCTGCACTCATTTATTTCAATGTGTGTGTTGTTTTTTTTAAGAACACTGTCTGCCTTGGGGTACCGCTGGAATTACCATATGCTATCTGGCTTGTCATAATAAAACATGTTGGTGAACACTGTCGTTTCAGCCACACAAATGCTTAAGCTGAGGAGCCTACTTGTATCCATGGTTAAATAAAGAAAGCATTTTTTCTGCAAGCAACAACAACATGTGTCCATCTTGTTCCCTGCCAAAGTCTATGAAATAAAGTAATGCTATGGAGCAGGATTCCCCAAAATAGAGCGTCTTTCTGTCAGGTAACCTGCGGAATATCAACCCTGTTTCAAATTTAAGCCAATACTCTTTTTACTTCATACCCGTCAGCCTGATAGACGTGCAATAATGAGAAGATGAGAACAAGTCAGTGGTTTCTTTCTGCAAATTTGCTGCAGTGGAGCCGGTTTAAGGTTTGAGTTAATGACAGGCGTTTCAGATGGGAGAGCTTGGCATTGATAGATGAGTACAATTGAGGTACAGTGTGGGCTAATGAGTGGAGGAGAAGATGCACTTGGCTGGTCCTGAAGTCATCGCAGACGCTGGGAGTAGCCTGCCAGTCATTATTTCTACTGCCCTTGACATCCTATGAAATCTCACAAACTATGGCACTACAGTTTTTCTAGTCTTTACTCTTCCTTTTGTCTATAGCAAACATTTTCTGTCACTCCCTCAACCACGTTCCCGCTGGAGAGCCCATATTTTAATTATTAACATGGTCCATTACAGTGACTCATTGAAATCCCTCAATTACAGATAATGCGGCTGGCCCATAATGTACTCAATGCGCATTCATTGGTCGACACTTTCTCCCTAATTCTCCTTGTATTTCTCTTCTCCTCCTCCTTGTGTGCTTTCTATCCCTCCTCATCTCCTCCTCCTCCTCCTCCTCCTCCTCCTCCTCCTCCTCTCGGGCCAATCAGACCACACCTCCATGGCAACCGTCAGTGAGTGTAAAACATCCACAGATGGTGCCGAGTAGAGCGAGCAGCAGGCACACTACGCGAGCGAAAGTGTGGGAGTGTGTTTGTTTGTGTGTCTGAGAGAGACCGATACAGAGACTCCTTGGATAACCACTGTATTGTGAAGCCAACAGGGCACTCTCTTGGAACACAGAGTAAGAGCAGCGGGCCAGTTTGCTTAGAGGAGTTGCAAGGAAAAGTCTGAAGAGCGGGAGTGAGTTAATGGAGGACGATTAAAAAAAAAGAAAAAAAGAGACTGAGAGATGCCACGAACCTTCACAAGAGAGCAGGAGGTAAACCGCTGGTAAGCAAATACTAATGACCTGACAAGAAGGAGCATACAACATCAGGCAGCCCTACCCTGAGGCAGCCCACACACACACACACACACACACACACACACACGAGCCCCGAGTCACTGCTTTCCACTCACTCATGATCGCTGCTCCCGCCACACGCAGTCACAAGGGCCACGCTGAGACAACCGGAGGAGAGACGAGGACAATCGTCCTGTCGCGGGGACTTTGTCCAAGTTGACGTCTTCCTTGGATTCTTTCCTTTTTTATTTTTTTAAACCCTGAAGTCAAGAGTACTGCTTTTGTGCTGACCTTTCCAAGCACCTTCCCTCCCAGGAGAAAAGATGAGTTGCAGGAAAAGGTGCAAGCGGGAGATCTTCAAGTTCGCACAGTACCTGTTCAGACTTGTCACGGGCACGCTTAACACCGGTAAGGCTCCCCAAGGGCTCCGAGAGGCTCCCTGCTGCGTTTCCATTCATCCCATCCGCTTGAATCCGCAGAGATCCTTTTGGCAGTTTGCTCAAACTTCTCCACTTAAATTCTGCTCTGATCATTTTGGCTCATTGCAAAGTTAACATGGGACAGAAAGAACTTTCGTCAGGACACTTCCATACCATCAATGCATCGCAGTGTATTAGGACGTGTGTATATTTATGGCTGCAAACCCTGCTAAAGTGTTGTGATTTTATTGTCTTTGCATGACGATTCGTGAGTGTGTGTGTATGAAAGTGCAGTTTATGACAAGATGCAAAGTGACATCATTTAAAAAAAAGTCTGCTTCTTGTGCAGTTTGGGGTTTTCAAAAGTAAACCTATTCAAGCGTTTGTCAAACAGAGTCTGGACGCTCTGTCTGTTAGTCATCATGCTTCTAGCGCCTGATTGTTTGGACCGTAATACGTTCCATATTTTCTGAGAACCCCGATGCAGAAACCTTCTGAAATCCTTCCCGTAGACTCAATCGTACTAACAATATTAAGTCTGGGATTACAGTGCATACAGGTGAGGTTAGCAGCAGTACCGCATTCTGATATCTGGTACATATTACTAGTAAACTGGCCGCATTGAGGCTGGGTTGCCATTACTTATCCTTGCATCATACAAGACACTTTGTGCCTTTTTTTTGTTCATCCATTACTGTGAGCTCTCCAGATGATTCCACCACACTAGTAGAAAACATTGACACCCTTGTCTTCCGTGGCTCTTGTTTCGCAATTAAGTTGTTGATTATCACGCTTCACGAGCGAGGTGGTGCGAAGCCCCGGAGAGGTGCTACATGAGCATGCTAATCAATTCCATCATGTTGCTGTACATGTGAGACTCTAAATGTATTTTCCCTCTACTTGTTCTATGTAGAGAGAAAAACACACATTGTAAAAAAAGGGGCGACTATTGACACTCAGTGGAGAACAATTCCGTACGTCCATGGTCAACTACAGTCTCCTTGACCTCAGAGACAGAACGTGGGGGGGGTGGGGGGGGCAGCTATTGGAGGAGGAGCCCTATGAAAGGTGTAGATTGTACCGATGAGTGTGGAGAAATCCATCTACTCGGTCTGCCCAAGTAGGAGTCTACAGTTAGTTTCCATAGCTACCATTGGCTCGTTTAGGTCATATTGCAATTCCCATCGCATTGACATGATGAATATAGTGTATTGTGTCATAATTTTCTTTGGTGTACTAGTAGGTTTGGTTGATACAAATGTGTGGTTTGTTTTGTGTGCAAAATGTCTTTTAGTGTCAGCCCTTATTAATTATTGATCATGTTAAATACAAGGCTGAACATATTTCCCTGTGGACCAAAACAATTGCTGTACGTGTGCAAAGTAAGAGAAACATATTTTTTTATTAACCATATTGTCTGAACAATATTAGTTTGGGTTGGTTAATTTATTTCTTTTTTGCCCTGAAGCTGGTAATTTATAAATCTCGGGACAAAACTTGACCCAGCAGAACTGACGCTTATTTTCCATCTTTGGAGGCCACCAGAGGATGATCTCAATGCCAGCAGTCCGCATAAGGAAAACCAAAGATTAGAGGAAGACATTACACTTCTACAATTCCTAAACCCATTAGAAGTCATTCATGAGACAATTTGTGCTCGAGTGGACCCATTCGTCCACGAACACCGTACTAATTTACGCTGCCTGTGCAGCAGATTAACAGGAATGTAGTTTGACCACAGCGATGCTGCTTTCCAATACTTGGGTGACGTTGGGATGAGAGTGATGGATGGAGTCCGTTAGTAGACCATTCTAATTGAGATGTCCGAGAACGGCCTCAGCCATCGATCGCTCGACAAGGCTGGCAAATACACGTAATGCAGATGACTATGTGCGTGATGCAACGGGACTGAGCTGAGCAAATTGTATACCACATATAGATAATTTCATTAATGCTTTTGGTCCACATAAGCTGTTTGTTGATTTAGCACAAGATATATCTGCAACATCACCAATTGACAAGGAGTATGTTTACGGTCTAATTTTGACCCCACTACGATTGTATTCATAGAAACGTGTGCAGCACTGATAGACTTATGGTCAAACAATAATTCACCTGCAACTGGTTTGGAGATACAGCAGAGAGAATAGCCCAGCATTTGTATTCAAACCACCAGTGCCACCCAGTAGGCCTTGAATTGTACAACTGCAGCGGGGAAATGAAAGGAAACCAATCTTTCAGGTTATTTCTAAGGAGCAGTGTCAGCAAATATGCCGCACATTGCAAGGCAAGGTATTCGTTGCTCACACCAGTGAACATCTTCCATCTATTCCAGCATTTCCAACACAGCCTCTCGGATGGACGAGCCCGGAGAGTCACCGGCGTATCCATCAGGATCACAAGGACGTCTCAAAGCGGCGTGATTGATGCCGCTAACTTCTAAGTGACACGTTGTCCATTCTTTATGTAGTCAGCACGACTTGGTTGTGCGGTCAGTCGAAACGGCTTCAAACGGGTCTTTTTTTTACCTATGCAGCTGGATCACTTTGGAATGCACCGTTCCCTCTGGTGCAATGCTCCAGAGTCTTTCACTGCATCGTCACTGCTTGCTTCTTCTCTCAGTGTTTGGCTGTCGGGCATCTCGGCTTCTGTAATGCATCATCATTTTTTTCACATCAGCACAACGCTTGTACCAGAGTCTGAGCTTATTTCTAAGAATTACCCTCAGAACCACCTGCAGTCTGTTTTTATAAAAAATGAGGAACAACTGTTAGAAGTCCTCTCGCTCTTTGTAATGGAACAATGCGTAATGACTCTAATGTCTCTGAGTTTGCAAATGATTACATATTGCTTTCGCAGGGATGCAGTAAATGTCAAACAAGCATTGCTTTCTTTTCCCTCAAGATGTAGCATTTTTATTGCTAAATTACCTAATTACCTAATGGATTTTTTGGTTTATTTTTCATCGGTGCAAAATGCCCTCAAATGTCTAATGTTCTAATGTCTTTCGAATGTCAGTTCAGTTACATTCATTTGTGAGTTGGACTGACTGAGGCAGCTCGTCTGGGTCATGACTGCAGGAGCAATATGGCAAGCAGAGAGACTTGTAGGACCCAAAGGTCATTTCCTATTATGTTCTTTGTGCCAGTTTGTCCCGGCTCGGCCGTGGGTCTACCTGAAAAAAAAAGGTTCACTCACTGGGATTTTTTTCAAATGTATTTTTTTTTTGGAGCAGTAGCTGGAGTTCAATGTCCTTTGAGACGGAAAACTACGAATAAACTCGTCGGAGAAGTGACTTTGCAAATAGGCCGCTTCGCTTTTGAATTATTGAAAAAGCCTCCCAAGTTCTACAGTGATTAAAAGTTGAAAGAAGGTCTGCCAAAGAAACCGAAGCAAGCGAGAAACGAACTGCCGCAAGGGCAAAGTTTCTTCTTTGTGAGTTGAGATGTGGAGGTGCTCAACCACTCCGTGAACACGAGACAAAGCTGTGAACAAATTCACTCAGTGACTCTTCGGCATGCACTTGGAGGGCGCGTGCCCAGTGACTCGAGGACCCGTCTTTGGTTCCCCGAAGGCCATTAGGTCATGTTCCACCTGTCCCATGAGGACCGCATGTTCAAAGCCCACAGTCCTTGACCAAACACTGAATATTTGATACCCACGGGCCCCTTGGGTTGGCATCACGTCCGTAAAGCAGTCTGAATGGCAAGTAAAGAGTTGCTATTAAACGCTGCTTGATTTACTGTACCGGCTGTACACAGAAAGTGTTGTACAGACAGTGATTGAGGCACTTGTTGAATAATTTGCATAAATGTATGAAACACCCTCTGCAGAGTTCATAACAAAGTCCCCCTTCATTTTGTTCTGCAGCTCGTTGATGGCTTCTTTCCCTAATTGAACACAATGTCCGAAAGCACAAGGCAGTATACTTTCCTGCAGCGGAACGTTTCTCCCACAATGTTTGGTCAGGCAACAATAACAGATGGATAGCCGTGTTTGCAGAAGGTTTCCTTTCACACCCAGTGAGCTAACGTGCTTAATTCACCTGACAAACATCAAACTTCAGAGCGTGACACTCGCATACGCCCATGTCTGTGCTGCGCAACACTTTAGTTGTTGCGCAGTTTATTAGTTTATTTCTAACGTTTGATGCATTCAGCTCCTTTCTATGGAGACATTCTCCCACTGTTGTATATTGTTTTTCTGCAATGTATATTCTTTATTACTCATTAGTTTCTCAAACATGTGAGTGGAAACTGACGTGTTTTTTCTTTCCCGTTTGAATAAAAACTAACTGTGTTAAATGTATTTTACTGAATTGAAGACTGAACAAGGCTATCTGCACAACCTCTTGCATAATGGAAAAAGTATCAGTGTCATCTGGTAACACGTTTTCTTTTAACCTTCCCCAATGACCCCTTTCCGTGGTTCGCTGACTTTGGCAAGGGGAGAAAGAAGTTATTTGACTGTGATATCAGCTTCCTGGCAGCCTCAGTTCACTGTCTCTCTGTTGCACAGCGCCTCGGCCTTTTCCAGGTTTCTGGTTTCTGCTACTGTTTGGCCGTCCAGCACTACAAAAGCACAGATTCTTGAGCTGGTAGGCTTTTCTTCAGCTATTGTTGTGGTCGTGAACGGAAAGTGGTTTCACGTGAATTATGTGCGACTCGTAGTAGTTTATGCGAGAGACGTTCTTGGGATGGATTTACTCCAGCGGCCGTGCCAAATTCATGGCGTACTTCTGGCGCCTGAAAATCTTTGTCTTATTGAACTTCTGTTGACTTGTCAAGTTGACATCAATACCGTTGTGGCACCAAAGAGCCCTGGATCCCTCCATCAATTCCCTAGAAAACACCAATGTCAATGCAGTCATTTAATCTCTTTTCCTCCAGTGTCAGTCATGATTCCAGCAATTCTGTACCTCGACATTGATTACGAAATCCAAAATGAGTCATTTGTTAGAGGAGCTTTTCCTCGAAATGCCGCATGCAC